TGCATGTCAGAGGGGGCAGATGACATGACCATCTGTATGTCAGAGGGAGAGGTGACACGACCCACTTCTGCTCCGAGGGGGCAGGTGACACGACCATGCACACTTCAGAGGAGGCAGGTGATATGACCATGTGCATGTCAGAGGGGGCAGGAGACACAACAATGTGCAGGTCAGAGGGGGCTGGTGACACGATCATCTTTACGTCAGAGGGGGCAGGTGACACGACCATGTGCATGACTAAGAAGGCAGGTAACATGATCATGTGTACATCAGAGGGGGCAGGTGACACGACTATTTGCACGTCAGAGGAGGCAGGTGACACGACCATGTGCACGTCAGAGATGGCAGGTGACACGACCATCTGCACGACTGAGGGGGCAGTTGACACGACCATCTTTATGACAGAGGCGGCATTTGACAGGATCATGTACACTTCAAGGAGGGCAGGTGACAAGACTGTGCACGACTAAGAGGGCAGGTGACATGACCATGGGCACGTCAGAGATGGTAGGTGAAACAACCATGTCCACATCAGAGAGGGCAGGTGACACGACACGATGCACATCACAGGGGGCCAGTGATACGACAATCTGCACGTAAGAGGGGGCTCGTGACACGACCATGTGCACGGCAGAAATGGCAGGTGCCACAACCATGTGCACGATAGAGATGGCAGGTGACATGACCATCTGCACGTCAGAAGGGATATGTGACACCTCCATATGCTCGTCGGAGTGGGCAGGGGACACGACCATCTGCATGTCAGTGTGGGCCGGTGACACGATCATGTGTACATCAGAGGGGGCAGGTGACACGACTATTTGCACGTCAGAGGAGGCAGGTGACACGACCATGTGCACGTCAGAGATGGCAGGTGACACGACCATCTGCACGACTGAGGGGGCAGTTGACACGACCATCTTTATGACAGAGGCGGCATTTGACAGGATCATGTACACTTCAAGGAGGGCAGGTGACAAGACTGTGCACGACTAAGAGGGCAGGTGACATGACCATGGGCACGTCAGAGATGGTAGGTGAAACAACCATGTCCACATCAGAGAGGGCAGGTGACACGACACGATGCACATCACAGGGGGCCAGTGATACGACAATCTGCACGTAAGAGGGGGCTCGTGACACGACCATGTGCACGGCAGAAATGGCAGGTGCCACAACCATGTGCACGATAGAGATGGCAGGTGACATGACCATCTGCACGTCAGAGGGGTCAAGTGACACGATAATCTGCTCGAAAGAGTGGGCAGGTGACACGACCATCTTTACATCACAGGGGGCAGGTGAAATGACCATGTTCACGTCAAAGACGGCAGGTGATACGACCATAAACACGTTAAAGAGAGCAGGTGAGAGGACCACGTGTACGTCAGAGGGGGCAGGTGATACCACCATGTGCACATCAGAGGAGGTAGGAGACACAATAATGTGCACGTCACAGATGGCAGGTGACACGACCATCTGCACATCAGAGGGGGCAGATGACACGACAATCTGCACTTCAGAGACAGCCGGTGACACGACCATCTTCAGGTCAGAGGTGGCAGGTGACATGAACTTCTTTATTGTGACGGACCAGCCCAGACTGGGGCAGTTTAGTCCGATGGGAACAGGGTCGTCGAGAGGGTGGACAAGGAGTCAGCGAGTGACAAACAGACACAAAGGAGCTTGATGAAAGTCTGAGTGCAATTTTGCATTTGCAAGGTTTGAGATATATACAGCAAAGACTACAAAAACTGCAGAACAGTCATGCTAAAATTTAAAATTCCAGAGATGAAAGTAAAGCAATTTTGCCAACACATTTTCTTATCTTATCAACCTGATACTAGACAGTAAATTCCTGCTTTACTGTGGTTTTTACTGCCAGCCTTTCTCACACACTTAGGATTCTGCTCGGCTTTGTAGTCCCAAGTCAGGATGACCTTAACTCATTAAGCACTTTCAACACCAGCTGTGCCTGATTGTTACTTTTTTAACTATTTGATAATATTTTTTGTTTATTTGTAGTGGGCCATAGGGCTTTTAAGTTATTTTTAACTCTATAGGTTCCAAAAAGGCTATCCCATGTTAGGGATCCATGAAACCATCCTTTTTTCTTATCCTACCAATTTTTAAATACTTTTTATATTTGTCTTTTAATGTTCTCTTATTGATTGTTTATCAAAAGACACCAAGGTGGTCTTGATCTTATCAATTTATCCATGAATTGTAATGAATAACAAGAAACCCTTCTTCTATCTATATTTACCCATCTATGTCTCTCTTCTAGAAATCTGTTATTTCCTGGACTTTCCAGCATTAATTCTGTTTGACTACTTCTTGTTGCATCTAAAATAGCTTTCATTAATAGTGATGTATCTGGAGGCAAAGTTGTCTTCAGTGATTGAGTTCCTGAGAACTCTTCCTGCATACTAGGATAATTAAAAGATTTCAATAAAGGCAGTGACAGTGGTGTCAAAGATACCAGGTGCTTTCTGGGCCCCTGAAAGCCCATGATACAGTGACAGAAAGATAATAGCAAGTAAAAGCATGCCAAGTACACTGCATGTTTTTTAGCACAGCCAATTCCAAGAGGCAACCTTCCTTGAAGTTCCAGCCTCAACCCACGGAGGATCTCACGCAGGCTTCATTGGAGATGGCGTGACAGCTTTTGTTGAGCCTGGCCTCTGGCCCTGGACCTGGGAGCACCACTGTGAACAGATCATATCATGATCCCAGGAGGCATGGAGATGTGTCAGTGGATCCGAGAATGCTGTGGTGTGGGGATAGCCAGGTTCTTAGGAGAAGGCTTATGGGGGGAGGGAGTGAACTATATGGACAGGGAGGCAGGGATAGCTGTGCAAAGGCCCTGAGGTTGGAACCAGTATTGTATAGTGAGGTGACCAGGTCAGCCTCGACGGCAGCCTGCAGGTGGCCTGGTCTCTTGTCTGAAGGGGTTCTGAGGAGAGATTGGCAAGAGCACAAAGTAGGAGTTGGCTAGGGGAGTGAGGTGGGGAGGAGGTGCATTTGAAGGTAGAGAGTGCAGGATTTGAAGGTGGAGAAGGTGGGAGTGGAGGCTGTGGGAAGAGGCTTGGGCCAGCAGGACACAGAATGCAGGAGGTGTGCATTTGGGGGAAGCTCAGGCCTTGACTGCTTAACTGAGAGTGTCCAGTGGGTGGCCGGGGCGGGGAGGCAAGCACAGAGCAGAGTCTTGCTGGCAGAGCTCACCTTTATGAGATGGGGTTGTGGGTGCAGTCCAGGAGCTGTAGCAGAGGACTGGCCAGAAGGAGGGTGCCTGCTGCCATCACCCTACCTGGAGTCTCCCTCTGGTCAGGCATGAGCTCTGTCCGCTGAGACATACAGGTGGGGAAAACAGCTTCTGAGCTTCAGGCCCTAAGTCACCATAAGGAAGTACAGTGCTTGTCACTCCCCTTGTCTTTTCCATCCTGCAAGCAGGTTGGCTAAGACCAGTCCACAGTCTGGGCAGTGCTGGCCTCCAGTGTTGGACCTGGGCTTGTTCTGAGCCAGGCAGTCACCTTCCGGAAAGCTTGGAATTGTTCCTTACTCTTCTGTGGCCTGGGGTGTCTCCTGGGTATTGTGGCTTCGGTCTGCCTTCAGGCCACTGCTAGAATGTGTGCAATGTGACTGTCTGTGGGAGCCTGCGAGGGACCCTGCAAAAATGGCGCTGAGAGGAAGTAAGCAGGGCGCGGCCTGACTTGTCCTGAAGATCATCAGATTGGATGCCAGTCCTTCTGAACCCCTGGGTGGCATGTGATCAGTACGTGATCATCATTGATACCTATGGGACCCTGCCCATATGGCAGGTTTACCTTTAAGCTGTTTGGGTGCATTTTGGAGAGGGGTTTTCCAAGGGGATTTCCAGACTGCGTTTTTTGCCTATATAAGCTCTGTGACACCTGCAATAAACGAGTTCCTGCTTGACAAGACTCCCTGTTGCATCTGATTGTCCTCAGCGAGGAGGGCTGGTGAAATGGGTGGACAGCGTGCTCACCTTTCCCTGACCCCCATCGTGGAGGGTCCCTCCAGGGTGAGACCTCAGGGCGGCCCCCTGCAGCTGTCCAGGGCTCCAGGTTATTGCTGTAATGGAAGAGAACTTAACCCAGCCTAGTAGATAGAGGTTTGGTCTTTATGTCTGGGCCTCCTTTGTGGTCCACCCTGGGTGAGTGACTATGGTAGGATTCTGTGTCTCCTTGAAACAGTAGGAAGGGGCTTGGGAGCTTACAGCTTGGTAAAATACCCCACCAAAGCTCCTGGGCTACTCTGGCCCTATACACAAATGCTGTGGGAGGAAGAGGTGTTTCACCTTTTGGGGCAGAGGGTGGTGCTGACCAGTTCTCAGAAGTGCATCCTGTCAAACACGTGGCTGAGTCTGCAATGACCTTCTTCCCACCTCCAGAGTAAATAGCTATTTGTGGCTGTGGAAAGCTGGCTGATCGTGGCAGGGCTGGCATGGATTTAATCAAAACACCTTGTATGCATGTATGAAATTCTCAATAAAGTTTTTGTAAAAGTTAAAAAAAAATGGATCAAAGACCCCCCCCAAAATTATTGTAATTTTTAAGTTTTATAAAACATACTTTATTTCAAAAACATGGTGTTAATGTTCATTAGCACACGATAAACTATATGTTTCTAGGGCATACATATATGTAATTAAGACTCTATATATGTAATTAAGACTACTTCTTCAACTAATATAGTGAATATACCTATCACTTCAAAGGGGATTTTGCCCCTTCCTGATGGCTGTTCTTTCTCACTCCCAGAATTCCTTTCTCAAGAAACCACTGCTCTTTCTGACATTATAAATTATTTTGAATTTTACATGCAGGTAATACATGCATACACATAAAATGAAAATGAAATAAATTAAAAAATTTTGTTTTAGTTTTTTTTGGTCTTTTTGAGACAGGGTTTCCCTGTAGCCTCAGCTGGCCTGGAACTGACTATGTAGACCAGGCTGGCCTTGAACTCACAGAGAGCCACCTGCCTCTGCCTCCCAAGTTCTGGGATTAAAGGTGTGTGCTACCACACCTGGCGAATAAAAATATTTTATTATTTTTATTTTATGTGTATGAGTGTATTGCCTCTATATGTGTAAGCACACCCATGTCATGCAGTTCCTTCAGAGGTCAGAAGAGCGCGTTCAATTCCCCACAACTGGAGTTACAGATGGTTGTTAGCTTCCATGTGGGTGCTAGGAATTGAACCCGGGTCTTCTGCAAGAACAGCTAGTGTTCTTAACCTCTGAGCCATCTCTTCAGTCCCCATATAGTAGGCTGGCCTCAAATTTGAGATCTTCCTGCCTTAGTCTGACAAATGCTGGGATTACAGGTCAGTGCCACCAGGCCTGGCTCACCACAATTTTTTTTTAAATGAGCAATATCCATGTTAAAGATATGTTCAGGGTCACAAAGAAAGAGACCACCATCACTCCAATCAAAGTGTCTTGACAAAGAAAAACTTTACTTCTGATCAGAAGGGTGCAAGAACCACAAAAGAAATCTGGAGAAGCAATCGCATGGAGTAGGGAATACAGCACAATGCATCTTAACTCCTAATGCAATAGTACTGCGTCTTTTCCCTTTGGCTGGAGCCAAGCCCTCACTGCCTTTCCTGGCAGGCCATCAGTTCCTGGAATGCACCAAGAGGCTCACCTACCATTAAACCTCCTGCAAGGCTTATTGATTAGAACTTCAGTGATTGTGGAAAATTTGAATGTTGCAGGGCCAGAGCCTAATAACAGTTTATCTTGGGCTATCTTTAGTCCCCTAAATAGCCAATCCTTTCCCACCTCTGTGTCAGACCTGACATTTTGTGACTAACAGAATGTATTAACTTAACAAAACCACAGTATCCACAAAACAAAGTCTGAGTGTCATAAGACAGCATCTGAGGTCTATAGCTCAGATTTCTTCACTTTGCTGTAACCTATAACCACTTGTTTAATGTTTCTACCAATGTATTTGAAAAGTGCCTTGATTTATAACTTTCTTTGTTATGTTGCTATAAAAACTTCATGAAAGGGTTAATACATTGGAACAAGAAATTTGAGGTAACCTAAATCTGTGTCATCCATGTTTGACTTCAGAATAAGCTATCTTTTCTGCCCTTTGAAGTGAGATTTGTTTTTTTTTTCTTCCATGTGTGGCTTTTTGTTCATCAATTCTGGGGATGGAACTCAGGTTCTCACCATTACCAGGCAAGCGTTTTACCAACTGTTGCCCGGATTCCCTCTGGGTCTCCTGCGCTATCAAGCAAACCATATAACATATCTTTATGTGCATTTATTAACTTACAAAGGAATGAGTACCCAGTGCCTAGCCCCATGCCATGGCTCAGAGCCTGCCATATCAGACCGTGCCATGCCCATAGTCACTGCTAGCATTTGCTCATGCCTCCAGGGCCAGCAGTCTCACTCCAGGTCCATAAGAGTCAGTCCATTATGTCCTTCAGCTGCTGCGAGGCTGGCTGCCTGCGGCTCACAGCTTCCATCCCAAGGTGGCTCCCAGCAGCCCCTTCATAGTCCACGCTCTGCAGCAGACTCTGCCTGTTGGAAGAACTAGCCAATTGGGAGACACTCCACCCCTTTCCTCTGCTCTTACAATCTTCCTGTCCTTCTTCCATTAAGTTCCCTGAGCCTTGGAGGGGGTGATAGATGTAGGGTGATTGCTCTTGTATCATGGCGAGATAGTGGCTTCTTGAGCCTCCCCATTAGTCAGTCATCTTTTAGGCTGTGGCCACTGATATATTTAAGTGGTGTTTCTTCTACTATAAAGACAAATGGAGGGAAGTAGACACATTAAAATAAATATGAATGTAAATGCAGATGCCTAGAATATCTCCCAGTAGGTGTACTATATTCATTTAACAGTATACTCATGAGGGCTTCTCCACTAGGGACTGTAGCCTTTCTCAACACAAGGCATTGGCCTGGTCTACAGTACCAGATGTTGTGTTCCAGCCCTAGGAGTGGGCCTTAGCCAATTAGAAATTTGTGAGTTGTACGTATGTTGGTCGAGCCATTATTGCACTTGCAGGTATTGCTGGGCATGTCCATAGTCTGCAGCACATGGGGTCCATCGTTGAGTAGAATTGTAGGGAATCCTTCCTTCCCCAAATATCTGCATAGAGCCTTCTGGCAATATGAATGTCATCCATCCAGTGGCATGGAGTTTTTTGGCTTAGTCTCAGTTCCATCTCTTCTTCTTTTCCCTCACTCACAATATGCAGTGTCTTCAGCAACATGGCCTTACCGACCTTTCTAGTGTACAACCAACATTAATGGCAATAGCCTTGGTGAATTGGAGGACCTCTAGGATCTCTCTCTGACCAAAAGCTCATAGGGGGCAACCCACCGCTGGGACTGTAGATTTTCTTAACAGTTGTTTATAGCTGGCCTTTCCTTCTTCAGATATCTTTCAAATGGGTTTCACATCTGTAAAACACTCAAAGGAACATTAACATTACACATTAAATCAATCATAGATGAGGTCTCACACAGCATGGAAAGGTTTTGTCCATTCGTAGTAACTTTTCTCCATAGATCCTTGTTAGGTACCATAGCATGGGTATGAGGCATTAATTTGGTTAGCTCTTTACCATTTTTAGTTATCCCTTTGGATTCTCTTATTCTTGATACACTTACAGGTGTTGGCTCCAGTTGCCTGACCCTGCACTGGGCTAAGGAGGCAGGGGCTTCTCTTGTTCCCATTACATATGTTGGTTCCCTGAGTCAGGCAGGCCCTGGTTCTGCCTCCTGACTGCAGCCACATCTGTCATCTTCCGATTGACCACACCAGGTTGCTGGGGGAGAACTTGGTGGGAAAACCTGCTTCTACCCCTAGTATAGCCTTTATCAGAAGAGAAATGCATCTTATTTAATCCTTAGGGATTCTTAACCACCCTTGGGACAGTTGTTATCCTTCGAATGTCCTTTGTAAACTGTTCTTCTGGTTTTAAAACCTTCCAGAAATGCCTTAGTACCCAATTTGGTTTTCTATCAATTTTTTCTCTGGGAATGTGGGCTTGACATAAGTCACATAAGTCCTGCCACATTTGTCTTCAAGTAACCCAAGTGGACCATTTCTTTGGTCTGGTCTTTTTTTATATCTCTTATAGGGTGTTCTGTTATTTTACAGGCACGTTTTACATGCTGGTCAAAATCACTTAGATTTGCCAAAGCCTCTCTCACTTTACAAAGATCCTGTCCCATCAAAGGGCTTAGTAAAAACATTAAAGCCCCATACCATTCTTGAGGTCCCAGTTGAATTAAACTTTCCTTCATATCTCTGGTGAACACAGTCTTATCTGGCCAGTGAACTGGACATCATATATTGCTTTTCTCATACCTAGTTCTCTCAGTAATGCCTGCCCCTTCTTTATAGTCCTCCAGCCCCTGCTAATCATGTTAATCTCCCTTGGTGAAGACCAAGTGTCTTTAATGTCTTCAATCAGCCATCCCATTAGGGACTGTTCCCCCTGCATTGGCCAAAGTTGAACAGCCTATATCTCAAGGATGGATGGGTGGTTATATAACGCAGCTGTGATGCTTCTGAAGGACTTAGACTGACATCATTTGCTCCCATGTCCCATACTCTCACAAGCCACGTGACTATGGGCTCTTTGCTTGCTTGTAAGTTTTTCCTAGTTTTAACAGTTCTAGCGTGGAATATTCACTATTATCTGTCTTTTCCTCAGAGTCCTTGGACCTTACACAAGTCAAAGTGTCCCGCCTTTCTTCTCTCTGAGGCTCTGCAACTGGGTCTGCCAGTGCAGGCTTTTCAGCTTTCCCTGCCTGGGACACAGCTTTTATGAGGTAAAGTGGTTGTGCTCTCTCTCTAGGTGCTCTATAGAGCAGGTTAAAGATTTTCTAGCCTTTGGGTAACTCTTAACAAACCTTCATATACCTGCAGCATATCCCCAC